ATTCCCTGTTCTGACCTCAGTGGGCACCATGCATGAACATGGCACTACACACTTGTAGGGAAAACAGTCATGGAAATGAAATAAACTAAATAAATCTCTTAGAAAAAGAGGAGGAAAAACATTTTTTTTCAAGAAAATATACAAAAACAGGCAGATAAGATGGTTCAGTAGGTAGAGGCACTTGCTGCCAAGTCTAACACCCAAGTTTGATCCCAGGGACCCTTGTTGTGAAGGAGAGAACCAAATCCCACAAAATGTCCTCTGACCTATGCATGAGTGCCGTGACATGTGCATACACACCCACCCCTACCCCCCCCCCACACACCATATTTTTAAAAGTTATTTTTTAATTTATTTTTATTTTATGTGCATTAGTGTTTTGCCTGCATGTATGTCTGTAAGAGGGTGTTGGATCCCCTGGAACTAGAGTTACAGACAGTAACCTAGTAGGTGCTGGGAACTGAGCCCAGGTCCTCTGGAAGATTAGCCTATCCATGCTCTTAAGCACTGAGCCATCTCTCCAGCCCTGTGGAAGGAAGGAAGAAAGGAAGGGAGGGAGACAGGGAGGAAAATAAAGTTTACAAAATTTTCTTGAAACTCTTAGGTTCTATGGTATGTGACCAAGAATATGAACTTTTTGAGAGACAGAAAGTATACTCTGGTCTACTGCAGCCAAAAATGCATGGCTGCTTCATCTCCAGCAACAAATCAGGGGACTATTTTCCAGGAGGGACCAGTTATCAGCTCCCTACCACCTGTTTCCAATCCTAAGTTCCAGGTCAGTACACTGGCTTATTTGAGTGAGGACTCCCTTCTTCTACCCAGGGGCTCTACTCTGGGCATGGTCCCACTGAGAATACTGGGGCCCTGGTGACCTTGTCATCGCTATGGAGCAGGGTTTCATACCAACAGAGGTAGGCAAGGTCTCAAGACCCACATCTGCCAATCGCTCTGATCTTAACAGAGAGCACAGCACTGTCCCTGTCCTCCCACCACAGCCTGAGCTCAGAAACGTCCCCAAAGACATGCATATATATGTGAGAAAGTGAGAATCTGTGAGGCCACAAACATGTGATGGACAACACAAAGTGGACTTTTTTTCCTTTCTTCTTTTTCTTTGTGTGTGTGGGGGTGTTACAAGGAAAGGGAAACAGACATGAGAGAACTGGGAGCTGAGCATGATTGAGGCGCATGATGTGAAATTCCCCCCAAAAAAAGGTCAATAAAAATATTATGCTTTTAAAAAGAAATAGAATCTAGGATGAAAATCATTAGAAATAGTTAAGAGAATTATAACCAAGTAAAATTGATCTTTTAAGGTGGAAAAAAATAAGACCCACATTCAAAAAGTAGAGGTGGAGATATATATATAGGTCAGTGATAGACCATTTACCTAGTACCTGTGGAGATATATAGGTCAGGGGTAGACCCTTTACCTAGTACGTGTAGTTCTAAATCCAATCCCTGCTACTACAAAAACAAACAAACAAATAAATACTAAAATCAACAACCTGTCTTCGACCTTAAGCCACTGGGGAAATAACAAACACCCACAGCAAACAGAAAGAAGGAAACAGGAACAAGAAGGCTAGAAACTCATTTTCTAATGGAAATGACAAATCATTAGCTAATCAACAAAAGAAACAAACAAACAAAATAAAAGAGGAAGACTCAGTTCTGATCCTACTAATCAGGAATGACAGGGGGACGTGAGCCCAGAAGTAAGCAAGCGAGGGAGTCCTGCTGAGCACCCAGGAGGGAGAGGTGGAGGATGGAGGCTTCAAGGTCATCTTCAGCTCACAGTAAGGTACAGGTCAGGCTAGGCTACAGGAGAACCTGTCTTAACAGAGAGAGGCAAGTGTAGGAAGAACACAGAGACACTACTGCCAACCTTACAGAGATAAAAGATATCATAAGAAATAACATATATATACATCCAGGCAGTGGTGGTGCACACCTTTAATCCCAGCACCTGAGGGCAGAGGCAGTGGATCTCTATGAGTTCAGACCATCTTTTCTACAGAGTGGGTTCCAGAACAGCTGAAACCACATAGGGAACACTTTCCCCGCAAAAAAAAAAAAAAAAAAAAAAAAAAAGTGGTTACAAAAAATAAAATATATAATTGTGTGCAAAGAAATGACAATGTAGATGAAATTGACAAATATTTAGAAACTACAGAAACAGATTAAAGAAGAAACAGGGCTGGAAAGATAGCTCAGTAGTTAAGAGCACTGGCTGCTCTTTCAGAAGACCTGGGTTCAGTTCCCAGCACCAACATAACAGCTCACAACCATCTGGAACTCTAGTCCCAGAGGCACTAGGCAAGGACATGATGCACAGACACACATGCAGATAAAACTCCCAAACACATAAAAATAAAAATAAATATTCTGATGACGTAAAACAATGGGTTGAGTTCATAATTAATAAACAATCAAATAAATAAATAAAAAACTATTCCAAAAGAAAAGTCCAAACCCATATTGCTTCATTGGCACATTCTACCAAAAGTTAAAGAATTTAATGTCTTCACCAACTTTCCCAAAAAACAAAGAATACCAACAAATAAAAACATAATATACCAACTTATTATAATGAGTCTTTGATATCAAAACTAGGGACACCACAAGAAAGGTACATCCAAGAGGGCTCTAGAGCATGGCAGCTCAAGCCTATAATCCAGCTGCTCAGGAGGCTGATGCAGGAGGATTGTAAGTCTGAGGTCAGCCTCTGCTACATAATAATTGATATGCCAGCCCAAGCTACAAACTAAGATCCTGTCTAAGTAATAACTGATACACCAGCCCAAGCTACAAACTAAGATCCTGTCTTTAAAAAAAAAAGCTAGGAAATTGAATCCAAAGACTTAAAAATAGCCATACACCACAATCAAGTAAAATTTATCTCAGGAATGCAGGTTGGTTTAATAGCCAAAGGAAAAAATCCATGTGATATATTAATGAAATAAACAGCCAAAAATATATACTCATTAAACAGAAAAAATTTACAAACACCAATGTCTTTTCACAGTTAAGGAACAAAAGAATTCTCAACAAGCAAAGGACAGAATTTCTAATCCATATGGACTCCTATGGAAAGACCTATAGCTAACAACAACCTTGTGGCAAAAGAGAGCATTTTTTCTCCTAAGGTCAAGAACAAGACAAGGATGTCTGCTTTCACCACTTCTGCTAACACTGTACTAGATGATATGGTTAGACAAAGAAAAGCAACAGGCTGCCGAGAGAGCTCAGTGGTTAAGGGTGCACACTGCTCTTGTGGAAGACCCATGTCAGACAGCTTCTTACTTCATAGCAGTTGAGGGTGTCTGCACAGGGCATGCACAATCTCACCCCAACTTTTTCTTAAATTTTATTTAATTGATTGTGTTATCTGTGGTTTGTAGGTACGAGTGCAGGCAGATATGAACCATGTCATACACATGTCGGAACTCCTCCCACTGTAGGATCGGAGGACCCAGCTTGGGGTCTTCAGTTCCACACAGCAAGTGCTTTCACACACTGTCATCCCACCTGCCCGGAGAAGAGCATAAACCAGTTCTACTGAGTATGCTTGTGCATGGAAGAATTACAAGTCAAGATACCACACACTTTCCTACTTGATCAGTTGTGGTGTTATGAGTAAGAATGGCTCCCATAAGCCCATACGTTTGAATATTCGGCCCCAATTGGTGGAACTGTTTGGGAATGATTGGGATGTATGGCCTTGATGGAGGAGGTTCAGGCTCCAAAGAACTCGCACAATACCCACTGCTCTCTCCTCTCTCCTCACACTCTCAGATCAAGACGTGAGTTCTCAGTGGTTCTTGCTGCCATCATGGGCTCAAAGTCACCAAAACTGTGATAACAAATTAAACATTTTGTTTTATAAACTGCCTTGGTCACTGTGGCTTATCACAGTAATAGAAAAGTAACTAAGCCACCAGTCCATACTCAGCATCATGCAAACCTCACAGCTTCGGGAGATGCCACACCTGACAGCCTAAGTACACAGCCGTTCTCATCAGTCACACCTGCAGGCGCTCCAGCCCTCTAACCAGACCTCTTTTAAGCGCCTCAAACCCAGCAGCACACATATAGCTGGCAGGCTCAGGAAAGAGCCTTGCAGAGGCCATGGAAGCAAGTGTGCGACCATTTAGTTAGGGAATTCTAGGGTTCCAGACACCAGGGGCCAAATACAAAAGAAATGAGACTTCAAGAAGGTATGCTTGGGAGACACAAGGGTCAATATGATCAAAATACATGGTATGCATTATGAAGTTCTCGAAGAACTTTAAGAGTTACATTTTTAAAAGAAGGTAAGCTTGTCATTGGTCTTATAGACTTCTCTGTCCATGAAAAACATTAGCTAGAAAAACAAAACAAAGCAAGAGTAGGTCTTTCTAAAGTATGTGGTCCAACCCAACCAAAGGCCTTTAAAAACAAACTTACCAATGCCCCAGGTAGAGTTTTGCTATATTATATTATATTCCCTTTACTTTTTATGCAATTTTGAAATTTTACAGGTTAAAAGATTTCAGCTTTTAATAGTAAAGGTTTTTTATGGGCTAAACACAATGGAAAAAATTTCATCCAAAAACCAAGTTAGAAGGCTCCTGAGTCTCTGGAATTCTGGGTCTTTGTCTTTATGGACATTGAAATTTCCCTGAAGACTAGGTTTCTTGTGTGTGTGTGTGTGTGTGTGTGTGTGTGTGTGTGTTTGTTTTGTTTTGTTTTTCGAGACAGGGTTTCTCTGTAGCTTTGGAACCTATCCTGGAACTAGCTCTTGTAGACCAGGCTGGCCTCGAACTCACAGAGATTCACCTGCCTCTGCCTCCTGAGTGCTGGAATTAAAGGCGTGCGCCACCACTGCCCAGCATGACTAGATTTCTTAGAAACTAGAAATTTTGTTAAGTTCTTTAGAGTTGGAATGAATTCTAGGAAAAGAGAAAGAAAAAATGAGGGGGGTGTACAAATTAAAAGAGATTAGCGCATACTGAGAAAATGTAACTTATAAATTTTATTTGAATTCTAATACGAATATGTCAACTGTAAAAAAAACTTAATAAGACATGAAAATTTGAATGTGCTTGGATATGTGAAATCAAGCGATCAGTATTAGTTCTGTGTAATGAAATAATTTTTGGATTTTTAGTGCTTTTTTTCAATACTGAATTATTTGTAGCTAAGATGAACTCAAAGGTGGGAGCAGCCCACAGTGATTCCCACTTGATAATGGTGCAGGCCCCGTTACCAAGAGACGGCATCTCCAGGGAATGAGCAGAGTATGTAGGGATATTATAAAGGTTCCCATAGCTGAGTCTAGCTTCCTACCCCTACAAAGATTTCAGAGCAATAAAGGGGACCCAGAAAACAGACACAAGGAAGCACCTACCTCCTCTCTTCCTGGAAACAGAGAACAAGTCCTTTGATAAGGGATTGGGTTTAATAGTGAAAATAATCTGCCCTGGAAAAGTTTCCTATATTTAGCGGAACTAAGGGTTTTTTCTCACTCATTTTGGAGTTGTAAAGCAAGTGAAAAAAGCAAGGTCTCTAAGCCCTCATCCTGTTGGAGGAATCCAGAGAACAATGTCCAAGGTCATTGTCCTCAAAATACCAAGAACTGTTCCGGTAGGCTGCCCCGTATGACATCCCCAGCCTAAGCATCCTGAGACGCCTCGCTCTGTGCCCTAGAAAGATGGTTCTCCTCATCTTCCTCAACACTGGCCTGAAGAATCCTCAGCAGTTTGAGATCAGGGTTCCAGCCGGTTCTGTCCACACTTCCAGACATACTCCTGGGACTGCTGTCTTGGCTGGAAGGAAGCATTCCCAACATAGTCTCATCCACATCACTCATGTCCTTGTAATCTGACTCAAATATTACAGGACCTAAAAGAAGACCCAACCATTAATAGCATGGGGTATTTCTCCCAAATAACTGTAACAAGAGGCATTTTAGAACAGACTGGCTCTCTTTAGGACCCCTCCAAAGCATAAGGACTGTGCTCCTCCTCCCCCCCCCATCCCTGCTCGTCCTCCCCCCAACCCTGCTACTCCTCTCCAGAAAGTCAGCCGTCCTAGCCAGCACAGGGTCCACAGGGTCGGCTCTCCTGTTCTCAGGCACTTACTCTCTGGGCTGGTGTAGTAGTCTGTGTAGTAGGTGTCCAAGTCATATGTCACTGAGTTATCTATGGAAACCTAAACTCATGGGGGTAAGCAGAAGAAATGTAAATCTAGCAAACCAAAGGAACTTTCTGAAAGACAGTTTTCTTGGGGAAATTAACATCTAAGGCAGAATAAAGAGTCCCAGGACAGAAATCAAGCCTTTATCACATTCTTTGTTTTCCAGGCCACCTAGGTGAAGCCAGGGCCCACTTATCCCCATTTCCAGGAAGCTTGCCTCCAGAGATGGCTGCCCAGAACTGCCAGACTGCTCTCACCAAGAAAATTCACTCCTGGGAATTTATGTGAAATGGTGGCTACTTTAGTCAATAAATGGTACAAGAAGTAACACTGTTTTATGGAGTGTCTAAAAAAATTAGTAATTTAAAAAACCGAGAGCTGGTTCAGCAGTTAAGAACATATATTGCTCTTGCAGTGTTCAAGTCCCCAGCACCCATGTCAGAAAGCAAATAACTACCCACAATTCCAATTCCAGTTCCCAGTGATCTGATGTCCTCTTGTGGCTTCTCTCTCTCTCTCTCTCTCTCTCTCTCTCTCTCTCTCTCTCTCTCTCTCTCTAACATAGACATAAAATAAATGTATTTTTAAAATATAAAAAGTGACTAGTCTTTCAATAAGCACTAATAAATTACATAAAGAGAAATCATAGGTGAGAACACAGGCAACTTGGCTAATAGCCCTTCCTCCAGGGGCACTGAATGATCTCAAATAAGAGAAGAATGACTGACTGTCCAGTCAACCCTGACTTATTGGAAACCACACATCATGGCTAGGCATGGTGACATGAGCTTGTGATCATAGTCCTCTGGAGACTGAAGCAGGAAGACCATCAAGTATGAAGTCATCCTGGGCTACATAGCAAGATCCCATCTCAACAAAAAAAGGAACTGAATAGCTATCTCTGCCTGTACTTTGATGTTTGCTAACAGCAGGAGGGGATCGAACCTGGGCTGCAGGGGTCTGGGGCATACTCACATGCTTCACACTGACTTTCTTCCCCTCCTCTTCCTGCTCCTTCTGCTTTTGCTCACTTTCCTGTCTTGATGGGATTCTTGGGCCTAGTAACACAAAGTAGGTTCAATCCTCTTCTTATTGGCATTTCACGCCCCACTGCTGGACTTCTGGCTGACCCCTAAAGTAGCTCCCTAGGCAGGACAAGATGAGGCCTTGCTGGCAGATAAAGGGAGTTAGACCTTCTAAATTCCATTTCTGTCAAGGAGCATCTTTTTTATATAACTGATGTATAAAAAATATTGTACCTATTTATGAGTTTCCATGTGATGTTTCAAAATATGCATATGCCATGTGAAGCCTTCTGAGCTGTTTGTGGTCCTGTCTACCTAGGTTGTAACCACGTCTACTAGAGAATAAAGCATGTGCCAAGAGACTCAGTGCCAGCAGTGGTGAGGCACACAGCACTCAGGAGGCAGAAGCAGGTGAGTTCCAACTCAACCAGGCTAGCTGGGACCACACCATGAGAACTTGTCTCAAAAAAAAAAAAAAAAAAAAAAAAAAAAAAAAAAAAAAAAAAAAAAAAAAAAAAAAAAGTAGGAAGAGGACTGGAGAGATGGCTTAGTGGTTAAGAGAACTAGTTGCTTTTTTCCAGAGGACCCAAGTTCACATCCCAGAATACACAATGAAGTTCATAACTATCAGAGCAGAAGGAGAGAGAGCACAAGCAAGCAACTCAGGACCACGAGGGGTGCACCCACACACTGAGACAATGGGGATAGTCTATCGGGAACTCACCAAGGACAGCTGGACTGGGTCTAAAAAAAGCATGGGATAAAACCGGACTCGCTGAACATAACAGACAATGAGGGCTGCTGAGAAGTCAAAAACAATGGCACTGAGTTTTGATCCTACTGCACGTACTGGCTTTGTGGGAGCCTAGGCTGTTTGGATGCTCACCTTACTAGACCTGGAAGGAGGTGGGAGATCCTTGGACTTCCCACAAGACAGGGAACCCTGACTGCTCTTCGGGCTGCTGAGGGAGGGGGGAGTTGATTGTGGGAGGGGAAGGGAAATGGGAAGCGGTGGCCGGGAGGAGGCAGAAATCTATAATAGATAGATAGATAGATAGATAGATAGATAGATAGATAGATAGATAGATAGATAGATAGATAGATAGATAGGCAGGCAGACAGACAGACAGACAGACAGATAGAAACTCTAGTCCCAGAGCATCCGATGTCTTCTTTTGGCTTTCTTGGGCACCACATCCACAGGGTCCACAGGTACACATAAACATAAAATAAAATTTAAATTTAAAGAGAGAGACACTCGCCTCTTTGAGGCCATTGCTGGAGAGGCAGGAACCAAATAAAGTCCAATCTCTTTATAACTTCTGACTGAAGCAAGAACTATCCAAAGAACTGAGACAGAAGTGTAATGCTCAGTCTATGCCCATTACAGGATGAGAGAGTTCATGTTGTACAGGGACATCTCAAAAGTCATCAAAGTGATGAAGCAGTCCAGGATTTACAAGTAGAGCAGACAAAAGCTGATGACACAATTGTCCATGCGGGCCTTGCCCAGCCAGGTGAGAGGAAAGTCAAGTCTTACCATGTAAGGAAAGGAAAGAGTGAATACAAGGGAGGACAACTGGAAAATACAAGAAGAAAGCAATACGTAACTTGCATTCAACAAAGGCGACAGACAGACAGAGACATAGAGACCCAGAATTCCTCAAAGAGGTGCAAAGTGGATCCCTGCCATTATCAGCAGCAAAAGAAACTGGATCTCTAAGGCAGGCATGGCAGTGTACGCCTGTCATCCCAGCACTTAGAAGCAATGGAAGAAGGATCAAGAGTCTGAGGTCAACCTGATCTACTAGTGAGTTCCAGGCCAGCCTGGGCTACACAGTGAGACCTTGTCTCAAAAAGAAATCAAGAGGCTGCTGCTATCTCGGTTTCCACCCATTACTATCCCTTCTGTGAGAATGTGACTGCCGTCCTCTGGGGATACCCCAACAGGCCCATATTAGTTTCTGAATACAGGCCCTAGGGTGTTTCTTTTACGTACACAGTTTTCACAATCACACCCTGAACGCACCCATCCTCTCTTTCTCAACCTTCTCTAGATGAACAGCTTCCGAATATTCTGCTGAAACAGAGCACCTATCATGCTCCCATGAGCACTGGTTCTCAGCTAAGTTCACATTAGCAGCACTGGGAAGCTTTAACATACCTGGGTCCCCAATTCCAGAAATTCAAATGTGGGTTCAGGATGGGTGTTAAGTTTTAAAAAGCTTCTCATGTGGCGTCAGTGTGTAGTCAGGATGGACATACTGACCTGGGACCTAAAGGGCAAATATAGGTGCAGAGAGTCCATGTAGGACGCCCTCTCCACACTCTCCCTTAAACCCTCTTAGCCACTCTAAGCAGTTACACTAGGCAAGATGTGTCTTCATAGGCTACTCTCAATTCCAGGAATCCTTTCCCCACATCAGGATCCAATTCACACATCGTCTTCTCTGTAAAGTCCATCTCAGGGAGGACAGACACTGCTCTGAGACCCTAACTCAGAGAGGCATACCAGTCACCCAAGCAAAACAGCTCTTGTTGGGGGCATCAGGAAGAAGCACAAAAGGTACCAGAAGAGAACTGTGGGAGTGATCATCATGGATATGAACTCTCCAGGCTAACAGATAGAGTGATACAGAGAACGTAGGACACGAAGCAAAGCAAGAGGACGGCATCTTTCTCAGGGACGTCTCACCTGAGCCCTCTCAGGACCCCAGATTCCACAACGAATTCTGAGAATTTGGTTGTTTGCAAAGTAAAGCCAGAAATACACAGTCTGAGCAAGGCAGAACAATCTTAAAAGATTCTAGAAGAGTCTTCCTTGGCCTTTCTACTCTGCATTCAAGCTGAGAAATGTCAGCCAGACAGTGTTCCATGTTCCCTTCAGTCGTATGAGATCAGAGTTCCATAAACAGAGGTACTATTCTGGGTTTCAACATCAACACCGGTTTAAAAAGGCTGCCTGTTGAGTACTGGCTACTGTTGATACAATCTGTTGAATACCCAGTGAGCCCCAGAACTCTCCAGCTTTTGGTAGGGAAACCAGAGGGCTCTTGAGAGACAGGATCTGTCTATGTAACCCTCAAACTTCCAACCCTCTCACCTCAGCCTGTGATGTACTGGTAGAAGCTCTGAAGAAAATACAACTATGAATCAGCCATCTCTCGAAAGCCCGTGTGAAGCAGACATATTGCTAACCTGCTTGTTCAGTTACTAGTTAGTTCAAGGATGACTCGGGGCAGACCAGTCAGCCAGACTGAGTATTTCCTGAACAATTCTGAATGCCTGACAAAGGCAAGTTTTACAATGACAAAAGCATGCCTGACTGCTGCCTTCACTACAGCCCAGGACACCAGCACTTGACTGAGCAAAGGGAGAGTTATAGACGTCGACCTGTACATACTAGGCTCTCTCTCCACATCACTCTTGACTGTCTTCTTAGCCTCCTGAAACCAACATAAGGAACTGAATTAGGACTTTTGGAAGCAAAGAAAACTTTTGCAAAAAGAAAGACATCTGGGTAGTAATGTCATATCCACACCCGACAGATAGGGGAGAACCCCTCCTCTCAGTTACCCCTTCCCAGTCCTCACTGTACCCCTACCCAAGAGACTTTCTTCACTACTATACCTGCATTTCAGTAGAGGTTTTCACCTTCCTCTGCTGCTGCTTCTGCTGCTTCTTGTAACCTGGTAACCAGAGAGGCCAGCTCAGTCTTCTCCCCTACTGAGAGCCCACACCTTCTGCTAGGCTACCTACTGTGACCTGCCCCACTATGGTACTCTGCTTCCCTGGCCAGGACCAAGCAAGAAGCTGCTCTGAAACTGGAGTCTCCTGAGTTCTCCACGTGACTCGGTGTGACTGTGGCAAGAGAGAGACCTGAACATGGACCAAGTGATGTGAGAGAACACAGTGGCAGTGCAGGGGCCGACGGGAGACGGTACCTGAAGATCCTTCGTCTCTCTTCAGGTTGTACTGCAGCTTCCTCAGATGTTCAGGGTACCTCAATGATGGTCTCTGCCAGAACAAAAATGCATGAGAAGCTCCTGTGCGGGTCTTTCTCTGCCCCAAGCACGCACTGACCTAGTCTATAAGCATGTTTTGAGAAACAGATGTTTGGCAGCAGCTTTCTACCAAGGTCCGAGGAAGAAAGGAAAGGAGTTGAAAACAGGGTCCAGAAGACCCAGAGACATTGCTCCCCTTGCCCCTCCCCCTATACTGGCTTTCACTCCCATATAACCCAGCCCTCCACTCTGCAAGGCCTGGGCCCAGAGTTGCAGGGCAGAGCGAAGATAGCAGACAGCCAAATCTTCCTGTCTTGAAGACAGATGGGCATGACTTCATTGTAGGCCTTCTCCTCTGAGACACCATGGCTCTTACTTGCAAGGTCAGGCGGTGCACAGTTAGATACATCTTAGAAGAGAGAGCGCTGTCAGGGCGGGTCCTTTCCAGAGGAAGATTCTTTTTCATCTTGGCCAACTCTGTCTTTACCTCAGGACAAGCCATGGTTTTCTCATGTGCCAAAATGCTAAAGGGGACAGAGACATCTAGATAGTCAGCAACTTTCCAGTCGGCTCTTCCCAGAGAGTGGAGCTTGAGAGAAAGAAAAGGGGCTTTAAAGAAAGTTCCACTTGGGCTCTAGAAAGACTTGCGTGGGTCTCTCTCAGTAACATGTCTTCTACTCAGTTAATGGCTAACTCTGTACCAGACTCCTGTGCTTTATACCACTAATCCCTTACAGCACCTAAGGACAGACATTATCATCCTCCTCAGTCTGCAGATGAGGAAAGCTAGGCAGAAATGAGCTAAATAAGTTACCAATAATTCACAAAGCCAGTTAAGTTTCAATATGCAATTCAAAGGCTGTCACACGCCAAACTACACACACCATTATACCTCCCAAATGGACAAATGTCCATAATTAATCAATGGGGGAAAAAGGAGAACAGGAATTCAAATGAGAGGCCACCTAATAGGCTTAGCCTGGAGCCCAGTGGACAGTCAGGGCTTGATGAATGGTGGCAGTGATAACTCTCACCCTGCATGTCAGTAATCCAAACAAGGGTCGAGCTTGCTCCCTGTTCTCAAAGCACATGGTTCTGCCCTTTTCAACTTCAACAAAGAGCAGGGCTCTGGCTCTCCTCACTGACTCCATAATACTCACCATTCCTTCAGGAGATCCCGGGGAAGCATGTCCACTTGGGTCAATAGAGGTATGGCTTTGGAACTTAATTGGTCAAATAAGTGCACTGGGGAGGGAGGAGGCACAGTCACCCCCAGACTTCTCGAATGTGTTGACGTATACTGCCTTCCAGAAAAATACAGAGATGGCTTGCTTTTCTGGAAGAAACCATGCAAGTCACTCTCTGAAGCATTCTCCTCCCAATATTCCACCCTGACAAATGAAACTCCTCATTTCCAGACTGTGTCAATTTGATTGAATTAAAACAAACAAACAAACAAACAAAAAAACCTGAGGTGAGGCTGAAGAGATGGCTCAGGGGTTAAGAGCAGTGGCAGCTCTTCCAGAGGTCTTGAGTTCAATTCCAGCAACCACATGGTGGCTCGTGATCATCTACAATAGACCTGATGCCCTCTTCTGGCATGCAGGTGTACATGCAGAGCTCTCATACATAAAACATAAACAAATAAAATAAAACACTGAGAGCAGCAGGTGACTGGGCTCAGTGGGTAAAAACACTTGCTGCACAATCTGGAAGCCATGATGGAAAGAGAGGATCGACTCTTAAGAGTTGTCCTCTGATCACACATACACACTAACAACAACTACTAAAAATGTTAAAAAGATTAGCAAAGCACCCTCTGGGTGTGTCTGAAAGGACTCCAGAAATGATTAGACCATGAGGCCACTGATGTCATGAGTGGATTAATCCCTTGATGGGTTCATAATATGATGGCACAAATGGGACGCAGTAAAGGGGAGGTGGAACCTAGGTGGCAGCAGTGGGCAACTGGAGACGTGGTCCTAGAGGCCACAGCTTTCCTAGCCTCTTCCTCTGCACCCAGTCTGCCAATCATCCAACAGCCTCTGCCACATGCTCCTACCAGCCCAAAGTCTGCCCAGGCACCTGAGGCCAAGCAACCACTTGCTGTGAGCCCTCTGAAACTCGAGCCAGTAGAAGGTTTTCCACCCGTGAAGTTGTTCTCTTGGGAATTTTGGTGATTGCAACAACAACAACAACAACAAAATAACACACAGACCTACGTCAACTTTTCCCACCTTCTCTCCTCCATGAAGGACACCCAGTTTCTCCCTTGTTGGGCTTCTAACATGCTGTTTCAATGATACAAAGCCAGGATCAATTTGTTTTTCTGAAGAGGCCGTTCACTTATCCACTGAACAAACTAACAACACTAATCCAATTGGGTACCAGACAGAAAGTGGGAGTTGGTCAAGAAAGGACATGGAACAGGAACTACTTCCAGGGACATAAGATCATATTTACGAGAAAGGCAGGCTTGGGGTTGGAGGCCCAGGCCATAATAACTCCTGATCCACTGGAATACTATCCCATCACACTGGGAATTTGCTTCTGACTGGCCACTGCTTCCTTCCTTCCTCTCTTCAAGTATTTCTTACCTTCCCACAGAGAATAGATAGGGAGGGGTCTGAAGATGTCTGTGGCTACTCCTAAAGAACCCCTGTCAGCTCTACAGCATCACTTCATAAGGGGCAAAGATGAAACTCACCTCTCCCAGCTTCTTCCTCTTCTTCTCAAGCCACCTGGAAAAAGCAGAAGTCTTTCCAACTGAGCTTGAAATAAAAAAACCAGAACTCATTCCCAGACGTTTTAAAATAGAAGCACTACAGACATTTGTGAGTGACAAGCATGGAGATGGCGGGAAGCTACGCTATGTTTCAGTTTCTTTCATACGACCACCATTCTATCCCAGGCCCACCTACCCCCACAATTTCTTTACAAGAAAGAAAAGGAACTTTAATGGCTCTTGTTGGTGACAGCACACATACGCGTTCACGCTCTCTCTCTCTCACACACACACACATGATGCATATATAAAGAAGGATAATTTGGTCACAAAGCGAAAGTGGAAAAGAAATTCTTAAGATTGATATGAATGAGAAATCTATTGTTTTGTTTTTGTTTTGCTTACAATGAGATGAAAAAGGGGTCACAGAAGCCTACAGGGAACTTAGAGAGTATGGGTACCATGGCGGCTAAGGTTTAGACAGGATGCTCACCTCACGCTCTTCTCCACTTCTTCTGGAACCCAGGTTACCACCATGTTTCTGACATCTTCGGAGAAAGGAAGTTTTGCCTCATTCAAATTCAACACTGAAAGCTAGGAAAAGGTGTGCAGTGGTCTGGGACTGAGCACCAGCAGGAGGCTGGGGCCACACACCAAATGCTATATTGTTATATTCACCAAAACATTTCATGATTCAGAAAATTATTTAAAAAAAAACCCTCCTACATCAGATAGCAATACAAGTACTTCTCAAGGGGTAGAAGTTTTAAACAATAACATTCCCTGCTTCTGCATGACATTAGTGTAGAATTTAGAAAAACCCATTTCATATGAAGCTATCTTGAGGCAACCCTACAGGGACTCTACTTATTCTGCCACTCCACTGCAAAGACTGGGATTCCCTGTAGGTAAGGCAGCCCACATTTTGGAACCAGGGACATACTGAGTACAGGTAATCAAGGTTTCTTCCTTTAGTTTAACCCTGTCTATAATTACAGAAATCCATATAAGTTAGCATGTTAATTTCTCCCACCCCTGAGATCGATCACACAGCACTAGGGTTCAAGGAAATCCTATGAATCATCTAGTCCATATTCTGTTTAAGTCTTGCCTTCTGATCAGAACTGACTGTCCTGGGGAGGTGGAGGCAAGGGTATCTCTGTGAGTTCCAGGCCAGCCTAATATACATAACAAGTTCCAAGCCACCTGGGGCTACATAATGAGACTCTGTCTCAAAAAAAGAAAAAGGAAAAAAAAAAAAAAAAAACAAGAAAGAGAGGAGCAAGGAGAGAGAGAAAGAGAGAGAACAAGACAGGAAATATCAGAATATTTACCCTATGGGAAGGTAAAAATTTTCTGATGCTCTTTTTGACTGCAAAATCTAGCATTATTTTTAGTTGGCATATAAAATGATGGGTTTCATTATGACATTTTCATACATGTATATAAAATCCGTGTCTAACCATGGATCACAGTTTTTAAAGTTGCAGGCATCAGACTAGATGACCTTAAGGCCCATTTTAAGCATGACATTTTGGCAACCTAAGTTCTCTGGATATGAAATAAGAATGTTTACTTAAAAGCTGAAAATGTCCTATATAAGGACAGAGAGAAATCCTTACCTGTTCCAAATATTCACAGATCACTCCCATGCGTCTGAGGTTTCTAAAGACAATGTAGTGTGTGGAGCTGTTAGCATAGAGCCTAGCATACGCTAAAGAGAGCTCTTATCCTCCTCATTCCATGATGCTGGGGCTGGAGAGATGACTCAGAGAATAAGACCCAGGTCCAATCCCTAGCACCCAGATGGTAGCTAACAACCGTCTGTAACTCCAGCTCCAGGGGATCCAAATGCCTTCTTCTGGCTTTGGAAGGCACTGGGCATATATGTGGTGCACAAACATACGGGGACATACACATACCACCATACACAGAGAATAAACATTTTTAAGAAAGAACAATTTCAAGGGCAAAATATTCCCACTAATAAAGAGAAAATGTTGAGGAACCAACTGTGACTTACTTTAGGAGGTCTAGAGCAACTGGCTACACCTTTGTCATAGAAAGCCTTCTGAGACCTGGAAGACACGAGTTCCAAGCATGAAACAGAGTAAAAAATAAAATAAAATAAAATAAAATAAAATAAAATAAAATAAAGCCAGGGCTGGAAAGATGGCTCAGCAGTTAAGAGCACTGGCTGATTTTTCAGAGGTCATAAATTCAATTCCCAGCAACCACATGGTGGCTCACAACCATCTCTAATGGGATCTGATGCCACCTTCTGGCTTTAAGGTATACATACAGATATAACTCATGAATAAAATAAATCTTAAAAGAAAGAAAAAGTCAATGGAATAGCAAAGTTTATGCTCTGAATAAAACCCATTCACTTACTATGAAGCCCCAAGATTTACTATTAATCAAATAAACACAGGTACTCCTATACAGATATTGTATACTGCACTTTACAACTAGATAGCTCACCAAACTCAATCCATAGCCTATGTCTGTCCTTCTACCTATAGAGAAATAGGTATAGCACCTTAAACAACAGTGTAGGAAGAGCCAGCGAAATGGCTCAAGGATAGAAGCACTTGCTGTGCAAGCCTGGCAACCTAACCTTGGTCCCTGACCCCCAAAAGTTGTCCTCTGACCTCCACACATGCAGTGTCATACACACATGCTTGTATATACACACACAAACACGCACACAAAAGAGAGACAACCTGTAATGTTTCACAACATTTGTTCCTTATTTTTTAAGACACCTTAAGTTTACGAATGAAAGAGTAATATGGAAGTATGCAAACAAAGATTCCACTCATCCTGATTCATGAGGTCTCATGTGATAGAGACCTTAATTCCCAGTGGCATTTTCTACAGCTCAGCCTTAGCTCTGAGCCCACGTCATTGCTACTCTATGTTCCAAACTCTGGAAGAATGTCCTCCCCCTTGTAGGCCCTGTATGTGTTAGTCCTGTAGTTTAGATTTTCCCCCTGCCAGCTTCCCACATACAAGCCTCCCCTTCAATGCACTGCTCTAACTTGAGCGCTGGGGATCGATGCTCTCTGTGCAGATAACAGTGCCCTAGGACAGAAACTCTTTCCTGGGCTTCCATAGCAGTAGGGAGCAGTCCTTTCAGGGCTCCACTGGATACCCTGACCTCCCCTCTGGAAACACATCTGTCAGCTGCACATGTGACTAAGCAAATGATGCTGTGACTCCTGCCTAAGGGGGCTTAAAATCCAAGGGTGCAAGAAGATGGAGGGCTGGAGCACATCCACAAACATGGCGGGAGGATTCGGAAGAAGAGGTAAAACTCAGCCTTGACAATGGAGCAGGCCATATCGCTTATTCGTCAGAAAACTGAGCTTCCATTCCATGCCATGTACTGTTGGAGACACAGGAAGGAATAGAACTCTGACGAGGAATCCATCCTGGGCCCCCTGGAAGGGCGGCCAGTGCTCTTCACCATTAAGTCATCTCTCCAGCCCCCAACACTGACATTTTAATGAAGGGAGACTGTGGACTGATGTCCCCAAAGTCATATCGATATTGAAAAAGTCTATAAATGTTCTGAAGGAATGACTGGGATTGTGGAGAGTTGGGATGTTACTGATCCAGAACCAAATTTTCTTGGCTTTCCTTTCATATTCATATTTCTTTCATAACCATTTGCTGTCCAGCTCTGTGTCTGACCTAACATGCTATAGCCATCAGGTGAAACCTTTTGAGATTTGGTAACAGATCATTACCACCCCAGAGCTAAGGAAGAATGTCATCCTGCAGCCCCTGAGATCATAACAGAGACCTCTCCTGCTTTGTTGTAACCTCTGTGTTTCAGGCCATGGTCACTCATATTTGACTCAAGAATGAACAATCTTGTGTTCCTTTTTGTTGTTGTTATTTGAGACAGGGTTTCTCTGTGTAGCCCTAGCTGTCCTGGAATTCACTCTGTAGACAAGGCTGGCTTCAAACTCACAGAGATCAGCTTCTTGCCTCCTGAGTGCTGGGATTAAGTGTTCCACCACAACCAGCTTGCATTCCCTTTAAATGTGATGTAGGAGTGTCATATATCAATCTGTTGATTTCATTGGTTAAGCAATAAAGGAACTCCTTGGCCCTGATAGGTTAAAAGATAGATGGGAGGAGGAAACAGAATAGAATTCTGGGCGGAAGAGGAAGTGAGGTCAGACTCTGCTCTGCTCCCGGAGAGACCCTACAGCTTAGCAGAGACACCATGCTCAGCTCTCCTGGGTAGACTCGACAGCTCTGCTCTAGACTCGACAGCTCTGCTCTGGAGCAGAGACACCAGGATGGACGGAGGCTAGAATCTTCCTGGTAAGCGCACCTTGGGGTGCTTACACACATCATTAGAAATGGGCTAGTCCAGGTGCGAGAATTAGCCTGTAAGGGTTAGAGTTCATGGGCCAAGCAGTGTTTCAATGAACACAGTTTGTGTGTTGTTATTTCGGGCATAAGCTAGCCAAGCGGCCGGGGTGTTGGGGACGCAGCCCCGCCGCTCCTATTTCAACAGTGAGAGCTGTGTTTTGTGGCACAAGGCAAGCAAATCAATAAAAGGCTTCTCAGAGCAGGATGCGAGGCAAAAGAAGCCAAATCAAATGGTGGTTGTTTGTGTTCATGGGAAATTTTAAAGAGGTGTTCACCTCTTTGAAAAAGGAATTCTTAACATTTAAACTAGATGACAAGGAAGAGTTAGCTGTAGGGGGATCTAGAGCAATTTTCTCAAACGGGCAACTCTGCCCCCAAGGGACATCTGGCAATGTATGGATTATTTTAGGTTGTCAAAGCAGCAGGAGAGGTAGTACTGCCTGCAGAGAGCAGAGACAGGAATAAAGCTCAGTGACAAAGAGCACAGACCCTAGTAATAGCTTTCTTCCCAAAGTGTGAGTAATGGTGGGTTGCAAAACCCCAGTCTAGGAAGCAAACTGTAGGTGGATGAGCTGTGGGGTAGGAAGTGTGGAGTATGTGACAGACAGAAAGGACAACATAGCTGGAACCTACTAAACAAGGAAGAGAGACACATAAGAAGAGGTCCATCAGGAATGCAGGACCTCCTGTGGCAGTAAAAGCTACTCCAGGAATGTTATGAAGCAGATCAGAGGGAACGGACTCTTTAAGGTTGGGAAGACTGCATGGTCACAGTGTTGGAGACAGAAGTCACCATCAGAAAAGCCAGTTTGACTCTGAGAAAAAGCTGACATCAGAGAGTGAGGACCATGAGTAGAGAGGAGTCCAGCAATACAGAGGCTACAACTCTAGAATGAGCAGATTTTAAGGAAGGAGTTGAGTGAGGGGATGGGCAAAGCATTAATCTGAGGTCACAATGTGAAAGTGTTAAAGAGGAGGAGAGCAGATGCCCACACTCGGGACATGCCGGGAGCAGCTAAGTTGTGCCCCGACACCTAGGGTTCATTCGCTGAGTTCCTAGGCCCAGTACTTCAGAGTGACTATACTTACAGACAGAACTCTTTGAAGAGATAACTCAAATAAGATGAGGTCCTGTGGAAGGGTCCTTATCCAATAGGACTAATATGCTTATAAAATGAAAATAGGGTTAAGACAGACCAAGAAGACTGAAGGACAAGATGTCATCTCCTAAGGGAGGGACCTAGAAAGTCTTGCCTCCAGAATTCTGTGACAAAGAATTTTGTTAGTCCTACCATTTAAGCAATGGTATTTGGCATGGGCACCAATACAGCCCGGAACTACCCTGCTCCTGGAACACACATGGGACTGTTTCCTTTGGGCTCTCCTCCCGTTTTCTACTTACTTAAGTTTGGGTGTGTTCCATTGTGCTATTTTGTTTTTTGTAACACTGGGGATCAAACTCAAAGCCTTGTATGTGCTGAGCAAAGGGATTTTATTACTGAGCTACATCTCCAGCCCTTAGTATTTCCTTTTAAACCCATCATTCCCAGAGTCCTCTATGTGGATAAGAGAAACACTCACCTGCTGTAACGCCTGGAAGCTGGTTTCAACAATAAAGACCGCTCCCACTCCTTAGGGAAGATAAATTTTGGTGACTGTCGCTGAGCCATCCTCTTCTTGGTCCACAGGCAGCTATCCGTGATATTGACAATGGTGAGTGTTGGGAGTTTATCTAAGAAAGCAGACCAGAACAAAACATGTAACCTACTGCCTTTAGAAAGGGAAGCAAACAGAAATAGTGTAAGGACTTTGTGAAGAAAACGACAAAGGCTAGCCAACGCACCATCAATCTCCCGGGAAGATTTGCCGGGTGAGTCCAGGATCCTAGGATGGCCCCTCTCAATCCGTCGGAGAGATGCCCAGCATTGTGGATGCTGACAAACTGCTGAGCTGCAGTTGGTTTCATCCCACAGATCCTCATTTGGCAAGTTCATAGCTATAAACGATTTAAGACAAAATCCAGTCTTGCAGTATTTTAGCCCTCTGGAGAATTAGCAGCCACCCACTTAGGTGTTATTATTTTTATACATTGGACAGCCATGCAATCCAGATCTCATTTTGAAATGAAATCATAAACTATCTATTGACTCCATATAAGTAAATGCTGGTCACACAAAAACAATAGAGAATTGAAAAACAAGCAAGTATAAAGATAAGTCAAAAGGCAAGTCTGAGAGATTATCTTCAAGAGCCCACTGATTGGCCATTCACAGCTGCATGACATGAGACTTTCCCACTCTGTCTGCTCATCTGTAAAATGATAAGTCTGTTTCAGGAACTATTAGTTTATAGACATTCAAAAACTTGCTTAAGGCTGGACGTGGTGGTGCACACCTTAAATCCCAGCACTCAGGAGGCAAATGGTGGTGGATTTCTGTGAGTTCAGGGCCAACATGGTCTACATGGTGAGACCGTCATCTCAAAGAACAACAACAAAAAACAAAAACAAAAAAAATTGTTCAAATAATTCAAAAATTAAATATCAGAGCTAAATGCTTATACATGTAATCCCAGCAGCTCAGGAGGCTGAGATAGGAGGATTAATAGGAATTTGAAGGCAGCCTGGGCTACATAATGCATTATGAGCCATCCTCGGCTATAGTGTAGGATCTTTGTCTTAAAAAAACAAAAGTAGGGGCAGGGAAATGGCTCAATGAGTAAAAGCATTTACCAGCAAGCCTAACAATAAATAAGAGTTTAATGATCCCCAAACCCCACATGGCGGAAGGAGAGAACCGAATCCTGCAAGCTGTCCTCTGGCCTCCATACATACACATACACACATTAAGCAAGCAGACAGAAAAAAATACTAAGCATAAAAAACGAGGAAATCCAGGCCTGGGGAGCTGACTCGGTGCTCTGGAGTGCACAGCTCCGCAGCAGCACATCACAGCCAGGCACAGCACTGCACATCTGCAACCTCGGCTGGAGAGGCACAGACAGCTGGGTCAGGGCTGTGAGCCAGCTAGTGAGACATCCTGAACTTTCAAGAAATAAGGCTGAGAAGCAATTAGGGAAGTCAACCTAGTGTTGACTTTTGGCTTCTATATACATCTGAATGGTCAAACATATATGCATGTACACATGCATTTTACACACACACACACACAATGAAAAATAAAATATTATCAGCAGCCTTTCCTTTTCCCCTTCATTTATCATTACAAAAATGCCATCTTTGAAAGTTACGATCAGTAGAGACAGGCATACAACTTTAATCCCAGCATTCTAGGAAGAGGCAGGTAGATCTCTATGAATGAAAGGCCAGTATAATCTACATAGCAAGTTTCAGGCCAGTCAAGGCTGTATAGTAAGACTCCATATCAAAAAGAAACCAACAATAAAAACTTAAAAGCAATGAAATCACAGAAGTGCTTTTTAGCTGGCTCAAGCCTTTAGGAGGCATTTTTCACTGTTCAGATGCTATAATCATCACAGAATATCCCCTACCTGTGAATGGCTTTGCTTAAGACTGCAAATCAGATGGCCTGTTGTTGCTTCAGAGACCACTAACTTTTCATCTACTTCATACTTCTCAGGTCATTTCCTCACAGAAGAGAGTCGAGGGTCCTGGAGACTGGGCTCAATGGTTCAGAGAACTAACTGCTCCTCCAGAGAACCTGAGTTTAATTCCCAGCATTCATGTGATGGCTCACAACCTTCTGTAAAGACAGTTCCAAAGGGTTCCTTACCCCTCTTCTGACCTCCACAAGTACCGTATGCATATGGCATATACATTCAGGCCAATACCACTACACATAAAATAAATTTTAAAAATTTCATTGTAGGAACACACACACCAACAATTAAAGAAAAGGAGAAGGGACGAGCAGGGCACAAATGATCTGAAGAAAGAAATGGTGAAAATAAGGAGTTCTGACTAGAAGATGGGGGATAAATATACAAGTGGGGGAGTATGATAAAATAACAGAATGTCTGAAAAATCATAAGAAATCATCCTTTTCTGGTTTTTGAGACAAGGTTTCTCTGTGTATTTCTGGCTGTCCTGGATCTCACTCTGTAGACCAGGCTGGCCTCAAACTGACAGAGATACACCTGCCTCTGCCCCCCCCCAGTGCTGAAATTAAAGATGTGCACCACTATGTCTATCTACCTAAAAATACCTATAATACACGTAAGTCAGTATATAAATAGACATATAGCGTTTAAGTGAAATTTTCCCATCTGGGCTGAGAGTGCTCCCCCCAAGAGCCATAGGCCATCAACAACAACAACAAAACCCACAACACTGGGTATGAGAAACCCTCTTTTTAGTTGTTGGTCAGGGTTGTCCAAGAGACTCCCAAAACATTACAGTCTATTGCTACTGTCCTTGGTTGCCCCCCAAAGGTGGAAGGAAAGACCCTATTACTGAAGACATAATACACTTCAGACACAGGGCTCAAATTAACTTGAAAGCCTCCTCCCCAAAGACTAGCTTTCATGTTACCAGAGGTGCCAAGAAAGAATTTCTTCCAAAGAAGAGAAGCAATCAAAGATGCTATGAGTCACATCAATGAACAACGTGGCATCATAACTGTAGCAGTAAAATAGAGGCATGCACACCTTGGTGGTAACCAACAGCTTTTTCATAGGACTTAAGACCCACTTAACAAGTGGAAGATCATGCCTGGTACTGGAAACCTTGTCAGCTACCTAGAGCTCGGGAAGAACCTACAACCACCAATTTACTAAACTAACTACGCTCTATGTATTTGTCCTTATACCCACATATAAGCCTAGTCCTCACCCCCTCAATAAGGAAACTTCTCTTTGCAACAGAGACCATTACTGAAAACCACATCCAATTGAAATTCAGGGTTAGAGAGCCCAGTCCCAGTGGTACAGCTACAACACAATTCTTATACCTACACCTCAGGGACCACTGTGGTAGATGCCCCCCAAATTCCTCATCCAGGGGCTATATAACCTGTAACCATGACTCTAATAAACGGAGGCTTTGACAAGAACTCTCTGCTTGGCCTCCTTCCTCTTTCCCGCCCATATCTTTCAGATAGCGCCTCTCCGGGACCCTGGAATTACTGACCTGACAGGCAGGTTACAGCCCCTAGACTGAGTAACCTTCCAAGGTGGACCACAATCATCAGGCTGGGGAGATGCTCCATAGCCAGAGCACTGAGAGGGCAAAACATGCGAACTGAGTTCAACGCCCAGATCCACATGAGGTAAGGCACAGTGCACGTCTGTAACCCCACTGCTCCCACTATGAAATAGAAAGCAGAGGTCTGAGACTCCTGCGAAGCTTATGGGCTAACTAGCCTGGCATATGACGGTGTTTCAGGTAGAAGGCAAGACCAAGACTCAGGGTAGTCCTCTGGCCTCCATACCAGCATGGCACAGGAATATCCATACTAGTACACATTTAAGGGCGTTACATTAAATGCACACACAAATAAAATTATACTAAAAATAAGTATTATCCCCTTTTTAAAAATGTCATGTAGTTCCTACAATTACCTTATTCCTTTTAAGATATAATTGTGTTTTATTCATCTATTTGTGGGTTCGGGTGCTACAGTACACATGTGAGTGAGCAGGAGCCCATTCTTCCATGAGTCCAGAGACTGCTCGGGTCCTCAGCCTTGGTACAAAGTTTCTCTAACCTCTGAGCCATCTCACTGGTCCCCTTATTCACTTTTTAAGGACACTGTCCATTTCTTCTAGTCAACACATTTATTGACTACCAAATATGTGAGAGAACCTGTTTGGGGCATGGAGAACAGCAATAAACAAACTCTGTTCTAAACAGCTTGCAATTTAAACCAGAAGTAGGAAACTATTGGACTGAGCCAGTCTCTTGACATTGAAATGGGTCATTATGTGCGGATTTCTGGCTTCTCTGCTCGATCAGCTAACTAGTGGCTGGCACTCAGGCTGAGGAAGTCTTTAAAGCAGGCCTCTTCTAAGAGCAGAGCTCTTTTGCCATAACAATCCTCAGTGCACTCGTCACTCTCTTTACCTTGTTGTGGGTTTCTTTTTCTCCCAGTAGGAAAATATTTCTTTTTTTAACTTTTTTATTTTTGCAATTTTTTTTCAAGACAGGGTTTCCCTGTGTAACAATCCTGGCTGTCCTGGAACTAGCTCTTGTAGACCAAGCTGGCCTCAAATTCACAGGGATTCACCTGCCTCTGCCTCCTGAGTGCTGGAAAATATTTCTTTGTAATTATGTCTTCATGAAAAGTGGGAAAACAAGTCTTGGACCATGTTTTAAGAAAAGAAAGAGAGCAACAAAGAAAGAGGGAGAGAGAGACACCAACATTAGTTCTCAGTAAGAATTTTTCCTGTACTTAATACAAAAATTTTATAACTTAAAACGTCATTGTAAATGTAAAACCTTGTAAAGAGTTTGATGGGGAATATGTATGCTAAATCACTTAATGAATTAAGAAATACAACTTTAACACGGGCTTTTGAATGAGAATGAGAATATGATGCATTATTCTTACACTCAGGTGCTTCTCGCCCTTTTAGGACCAGACCAGTCCAAACTGTACCCCGGAGTCTCATCAGGTGTCTCCCGATATCGCCAGCCTTATAGCTGTTCTAATAAAATAGTTGGCATTAAAAAAAAAAAATAACAACAAAGTTTTAGATAACATTTACCCTTAATACGAGTATCACAAAGATGGAAGTGAAATAAGATTAAAGATGGACATCGGTGCAGTAAAATTGAAAGAAAATCTCCACTGAGTTCCGAGCCAAAAAAAGAAAATAAAAAAGTGTCAGTGGTCAGCGGTTCCGAGGCATAAAAGGAGATTCCAAAGCGCTCTGTTCTAGGGACAATGCTGAGAGAGCGAAAACGCTGCAAGGCTTTGGCTCCGCCCACGCCTCCCAGGGCCCCGCCCGCCTCTCCCAGAGAGGCCCCGCCCCCTCCCCCAGAGCCCCGCCCATCCTGTCCGGCGGAATTGCACGCTAGGCACCATGCCGCCCCGTTGCCTAGCAACAGCGCAAGGCACAATGGGAGAATAGACGGAAAACTCAGAAAGCCAAACTTAGTTTGGTACGAAAGTTCCAGTAATAGTGACAGTACGTGGCAAAGAAACGAGTCTAGAGAGGAACGTGAATGATACGGTCGAAGCTAGCGAGAACCTCAGTGAGCCGAAATCACCGCGATATGGAAAGCTTGGCTAAACCGCCGACTTAGGCGGGGCTGAAGAAGGGAGGCTGTGGCGCGCAAAGCACTGTGGGGCACTGGCAACGTGGGGTGGGACGGAAGCCACCGAGGGTCAGATCTTACCGACGCGGGAAGTCCAGACACCAGAACTGTCTGTAGGCCTGAGGCGGAGGAGGCTCGGGCTCCAGCGGAGGCCATGGCGGAGAGGCCCGAGGACCTAAATCTGCCCAACGCCGTCATTACTAGGATCATTAAGGAAGCGGTGAGCTGCTCGGGCTGGCGAATGGGTCGAGGGCGGACGAGCGAGCCGGAGGTTAACAAGATCCGCGTGTGTGTTTATCTCCACTCTCGCAGCTCCCGGACGGCGTCAACATCTCCAAGGAGGCCCGGAGCGCCATCTCCCGCGCCGCCAGCGTCTTCGTTCTGTATGCCACATCCTGGTGAGTCAAGCAGAGGCAGAAGGAAGGCTCTGCGGGATCTCGTCCCCGACTTCGTGGCCCCAGTAATTGTTCCCTGCTCCAGTAGAGAGAGCACTCCTCCAGTTCCCACAAATTCTGAAGCAGGTTAAACAAGGTTCCCGTAGCCCATTGTACGGGGAAGGAATGAACTGAGTCGTGTTCACAAAACCCATGAATCTAAGATAAATACGGATTTTCCCGTCCCACCTCTTGGTGTCTCTTGTTCCCACCCACTCTGACAGCTTCTGAAGGGGTTTTGCTTTTTTCTTCAGTGCGAACAACTTCGCAATGAAAGGGAAGCGCAAGACTCTCAATGCCAGCGATGTGCTGTCAGCCATGGAAGAGATGGAGTTCCAGCGGTTCGTCACACCGTTGAAAGAAGCTCTAGAAGGTATCGTCCGCTCTTCGGTTTCTTAAGCCTTAGGAAAGATGATCCATCCTTTGTTCCCTGATGGCCTTGATTGCAGTAATCTGGCACTGGGCACGATTCCTCTGTTTAGTTGGTACCAGCTGAGATACGTGATACGGGCCTGGTTATCTTTCTATGCCTTGGTTTGCAATAATCTGCTGCTTCCTTACAGCATACAGGCGGGAGCAAAAAGGCAAGAAGGAGGCTTCCGAGCAAAAGAAGAAGGACAAAGACAAAAAAACAGATTCCGAGGAGCAGGACAAGAGCAGGGAGGAAGACGATGAAGATGAAGAACGATTGGATGAGGAAGAACAGAATGAAGAGGAGGAAGTAGACAACTGAGTGGAGAGTGGGCAGACGGTGGCGCCATGGAAGTGACCACCTACAGTGTCTTCATGTGAAGCGTTTCCCTGCAAGGCAGAGCCATCTTCGGCACAGGTGCCTGAGATCAAAATGAAAACTGACCGGAAAGATCAAAATCAGTTCTTCCGACACTCAGAGAACCTGAATGACAGAAACCTGTTTTGCTGAATCAGTCTGGAGGTTGTGACTTTTTAGTATAAGGGATTCTGAATGACTAAATAGTTTGATATTGTTTGTTTACTTAAGTATGTGACTAGCTACTTTTTGATCCCATTTCCCTGCCCCTCCAAAAAAGTAGTAACTTCCATGTTGCCTGCTGTGTTCTAGTTCACAGAGGAGAAATGGGGCTTTGAGCAGTCACCCTGTTTGATTGTACAGTGTTGGCAGTAGGTCAGAATGGTTGCTCTTTAAGACATGACTAAAAAGCTGTAGGAGAATAAGGTAATCTCATCACTGGAGTGTAGCATTACTTGTTAGTTTGTTGACTGGAGTTAATTAGCTTGTAGCCCTTCTTTATTGACTGTAGATGTTCCGTCTGCGGTGGTGGCTGTACATACATTCTTAAATTCTTAATGTCGATTGTAATCTGTCAAAAAAATGGTGCCAATTCTTAAAAACAGATGGCTCAATCTTTGGCAGTAACTCAGTGCCTGCACTGTAAGATTTAGTGCTACCCCCTGGAAGGCATAACATCCCAGGCTCTCTTCATTAGCCCATCTCCCTGACCTGCAGCTGCTACTTTTCATTCCCTGAACTCTTGACAAGTTCCAGAATTTATTTCCTCTAGCTCTTTCCCCCTTACATCTCTCTCCTGCCTCTGCTTCCCAGCCCCACTTTCTCTTCCTTTTACTTATTTCATCTTCCAGTCTAGGAACTTTAATAACCTATATACTATCCCAAAGTGCAAGTTCCTCAGATTCCTTAGTCCTCCCTGAAATGCCTCTGAAGCTCAAGGCAGATGTAATGGTGCTCGGGAATCTAGCGCCAGAGCCACCACCGCTGTGGCTTTGGAAGTGTCTGCTGGCCTTTCCTTTCTCCCCATTCAGTGCTCCACGCACTTTTTTGTCTTAGCTGAGCACTTGAGGTTGACAAGTAATGTAATATAGCTGGATACTGTGAGCTGGGTGAGTGGCTGTGGTGAAGACTATTGAAAGTGACTGGGGACTGCTGAGACGATTTTAATGCTTTATACAAATAAAGAACATTTTTGTTTAAAATGATGACTCATACAATGTGCTTTTGGAAAGGACCCATCTAGATTGATCAATCTCTCTCTCTCTCTCTCTCTCTCTCTCTCTCTCTCTCTCTCTCTCACACACACACACACACACACACACACACACACACACAAAAGCACAGAACCCTGTATCTCTGGATCACCAGCAGATGAATGAGCATAACCACAGCCAACATTTTCCAAGAGTAGCCTTGACTGCCCCAGCACTCACTCTGTAGACCAGACTGGCCTTGAACTCACAGGGAGATTTGCCTCCATGCTCCAGTGCCTCTGTGCCAGTGCTGGGATTAAAGGCTTGAGCCACCACCACCTAGCCACCTATCAAACAGCATTTTCGTTACCTCTGTTAGGTCTTACCACAGCTCTATATCGTTCTTAAGTCAACTTTATTTCACAAAGAACCCAATGGTCATTTGATATCCTTTCTTCATTCCATGTATAATACTTAGCAAATAGATCTTCCTAGAACATAACTTTACTTTGTGAGATCTACCATCTAATAACCACCATAAGGCCAATAGAAATGGAAAGGACTCAGTTAACAGGGTACTTGCCTAGCATGTTCAAACAAACAAAAAAAGTTCTTTATGTTTTTAGTTCATCCTGTCCAATCCCTTAGCCAAACTTGTTAACTGTCTAAGAGAAACCTTTTCTATCTGGAAGAATCTTTGAAGTCATCCATCAGCTTTTCCTCAATCCTGCCTACACCTCCCCATAATGGCATCTGGATTTTGAAGGTTTTCCAGCAGACCAAGGTATGTTTCTCATCTCTAAGCAGAGTAGCATGGATCTGGGCAGTGGAAGAGTTCTTGTTCTAATTCATTCAAAACTACTTTGAGGGTCTGAAGAGATGGCTCAGCAGTGATGCTCTTCTAGAGGACCAGGATCCACATGGCAGCTGAAAATGTCTGTAGCTACAGTTCAAGGGAATCCCATGCCCCTTTCTGGCCTCCTGTCACTGCAGGCAGGTGGTGCTAGCCATGCAGGCAGGCAAAACATTCACACATAAAAATAAACACTTAAAAACATCTTTTTGTGTGCTAGCCCCTATCTTATAGGAAGTTGAAGCTCTTTTACGAGAAATTACTGAGATCATGATCCAGTGGCCTTTGGCCTTCTGTTTTTATTTTCATAAACTTTGTAAATGGTTGGGATAATTTGAGATACAGAAGAATTACAAGGAGTGCAGTTCTCATGTACCCTTCATCCGACTTCTCATATTGCACCTTTAAGTCCAGATTTTCTAGTGAATGTTTAAAATCCAAAATGAGATCACAGATCATAAACTTAACCGTTTTGAAATGAAGATTTGCTGGTCTAAGCACATTTACAGTATCACACAGCTACTTTTCCACCCATCTCACTAGTGGGCAGGTCACTGCCCATGCCTCCCTCCACTCAGGGCCTCACTCCCCCCACCCCCAAGTCTTTGTTTCTGACTCCATGCTCTGAGCATCCACAGAACTTTAACTTTTTGTTGTTTTTGTTTGATTGATTTTGTTTTTCGAGAAGGGTTTCTGTGTGTAACACCTCTAACTGTCCTGGAACTCACTCTATAGACCAGGCTGGCCTTGAATTCACCTGCCCCTGCCACCCGAGTGCTGGGATTTTGTGCATCACCACTGCCTGGCTAAATTTTTAAATTAATCGTGTTGTCTGTTGTTTTTTGTTGTTGTTGTTGTTGTTTTTTTGGGTTTTTTTTTTNCAGTATTTTAAATTAGCTTTAGATTTTCTTGTTTGGGAACAGTGATTTATGCTTTTAGTTTTTAAACTTTTCTTTCAGATTTTTCAGTACAGTGGGATATGTACAAATAATGAACACATCAGGTTTTCTTTGGGTTTCTCTGTGGCTTTGGAGCCTGTCCTGGAACTAGCTCTGTAAACCAGGCTGGTCTCGAACTCACAGAGATCCGCCTGCCTCTGCCTCCCGAGTGCTGGGATTAAGCTATTACTATGTGATAGCATTGGCTGACCTGGAACTCACTTTATAGACTAAGTTGACCTCAAATTCAGAGATCCACCTGTCTCTACTTCCTAGTGCTGGGCTGAAGGGGTACACCACCAGTCTGCTCCCTTTGGTCAGATTTTAATGTATACATTTTAGGTAAACATGATACCCCTGTCATATGTGGTTACTTTTCTTTATTTTCAATATCCACATATTTCAACCCATCACAGATCAAGGGCTGGACAATTAATTACGCTGTAATACGTTGGTCTAAAATGGGCCGTCTGCTGCTGAATACAACAACTTAAAAGTGCTTAGTCCGCCAAAATGGATCTACCCGCTGTGTTTTATTGTCTTGAACATCTTTTTTTAACCAAAGAGCAGCAGCCAGTTTTTTTGCTGGAGGCTAAGAAGAGACCTAGAGAACTCTTCGGTGAGTTCGGAATGACAAGCCAGGGTTCCCCAGATGCTCGGGCCTTCTCCCCTCCAGTGAGGCCCGCGGGGTCGGATGGTGTGTGGACCGGAGAGGCGGGGTAGGCGGGCTCTCGCGCTCCCCGAAGGCTCCAGATTGGCCAAGATTCCACCCTCTGAGCGTGGGCCAGGCCCAGCGGGCGAGCAGAGGCTGCCCTGAAGGGAGCGTAGGCTGCACGCCCGTGGGGGCGGGCAGAAGGAGAGCCGCTTCCGGGTGAGTCGCCCCGCCCCTACGTGGACTTGCTCTCTTAGAGCGGGAGAGGCGGGAGTCAGGAGCGGAGCTGCGGCGGGGGAGCAGTGTCCGTGGTAGGTGAGCGGGCCCGTCCTCTGGCAAGTGGTGGTTTGGGTGGGCATCCCGGATGGCATTGTGCTTCTGGCGCTGCGGCGGAGACGCAGTCCTGGTGCACCCTCTAGAGTGGGCGGGATCTTGCCGCTACACGGTCTTGTGCTTCCAGGCTTGGGGATTCAAAAGTGGCCTCCACCCGCCTCCCTTCTCCGAGGCCTCTGGGGGTAGTCTGGGAGTGCAAGGTGTCTGGCAGGCTGGAGAGCTAGGGGAAAACAATCTGCTCTTTCAGTCAGTACAACCACCCATTGAGGTCTCTTGAAGCCCCAGTTTACCACATGAAGAGACAGGAGTTTGCCCCCAAGCCTTTTAAATCCCACTTAACTCTCCTGCTACCAGCAGTGGTCATGTCTAGGTCACATCCTCTTCCCTCCCCTCCTCCCTCACCTGGAGCTCTCAGTCGGCTCATCTCTGCTGGGAATATCATGTATGAACTCTGATCTTCTAGTGTCAAAGGCCAAAGTGAGGGTTGAGGGCTGCTGGACTCCTGAATTTTGGGCCAGATTTCCTGCTGCCCTGCTCTTATGTCCTTCTCAGAGTTCAGTTTTACCATTGTTGGATGTAGAAGCTCCCAGCCAGAATCTTATAGCAATCTGGGAAAAGCAACTCATAGTTTGAAATGGCTAAACCCTGGCAGGGGAGATTACGCCAGCAGACTAGACAAGGTCTAGTTTTCTGTCTGATCCCTCCTAAAAATACTGTGGCAGGTGGCAGCTAAAGTATTCAGGTCTGACTGCCCGTAGCTGCCTTTCCTGGGCCGGTTTGAGAATGCTTCAGATATCCCAGTGTTAGACCTTCCACCTAGCTGGCCCTCCTGAGGAGTCTATTCCCCAACCCTTGCCGAACCTGCCAGAACTGGCACTAGCTCACCTCTATCTATGCCAAGAGCACAGCCTCTGGAATCCTCCATGGGGCACAGCCTGGGAGCCCAGGCCCTGAAGCTCTTTCTCAGCCACACCTGGTGGCAGTCTCTCTCAGTTTTTTCTGGTGACAGGCAAAATAAAAGGCAAGAGATATTACTCTTAGTCTCAGTGCAGAGGACCTGGGCTCAGTCCCTAGACTCCATATAACAACCATAAGTAATTCTAGTTCCAGGGGATCCCACAGCCCCTTCTCTTGTGAGATATTTGATTGCACTATGTAAAGATATGTCAGTGTGATTGGTTTAATAGACAGCTATACAGCCAATAACTAGCTAGGCCGGAGGTATAACGGGGACTTCTGGACAGAGAGAGCTCTGGGAAGAAGAAAGGTGGAGTCGCCAGCCAGATGCAGAGGATACAAGACATACAGAAGTAAAAGCCACTAGCCACGTGGCAGCATGTAGCTGAATGGAAATGTTATAAGAACTAGTGAGACAAGAAGCTATAGGCCAAGCTTTTATAATTAATAAGTCTCCGTGTCATTTTTTGTGAGCTGGCAGCCTCAAGAAAAATCTGTCTTATCCTTCTAAACTCTGCCATCACTGCAAATGTATGATGCATTTACATGCCCATAGGCAAAATCTTCAATATTTAACAAAATCCAAGTTGTGCTGTTCTGGCTGGGGATGTAGCTCAGTAATGGAGCACAGGGGTCCAGGAGTTCAGTCCCACAAGAAGCAAACAGGAGCTGCTGTAGTGCCCCACCGCCCACACCTCTGCACTCCTCCCATAGCTCCCACCTCCCACACCTCTCCACTCCCCCCCATAGCTCCCACCTCCCACACTCTGCACTCCCCCCTATAGCTCCCACCGCCCACACCTCTGCACTCCTCCCCATAGCTCCCAGCTACCCTGAAGTAAAATTTGGAGAACCACACAGCTCCTATAGGTGGCCCTCCAAGTTTTACTTTCAGGCAGATGGCCTATCAGTTACTCCCTTAAGCTTTTACAGGTGATGAGTGAGAGCCAGGGAATGCAGGTGTGGATTCCATAAGCCAGGTTCTGCTACAGAGAATGTTCTTGGGCAGATGAATCCAAATATGCACGTGGTTTCAAAACCTGGCTCCAAGCCACAATGGCACTGAGCAAGTTCCATAACCTCTCCTGGCTTCTGTCTCCTAACTATTCCACTGAACGCTATATTGACTTTTGCAGTTAAATGAGCTGAAGTTCCACCTTCAGTGCTCTGTGCTGCTGAACTCAGTAGATCAGTGTCCCCAGAGGGAGACCAGCTGGAGCCCAGAACAAGGTCAAATTCTCGTTTTTTCACTAACTGGCTATATGGTTTTGAGCAAATAATTTTACCTCTCGGCTAACTCCTGGCAGATAAGAGAGCCAAGTTTTGCACAAAGTGGGTAGATAAATCCTCGTGTGTACTGAGTGTGACATCTCTAAGGAGGCCTGGCCTCCCGTGTCCTGTGATGAGGCTGGCCCACCCAGGGGTGTGGTGATAGGGTTGGTTCTGTGTGGTCCTGATAACCCCAGCTCTACCAAGGAGGAAGACGGGATAAGATGGGCCCCTGAGCTAGTTGGGAGGACTGAGAAACAAACACAGCAGGGTGCAGCGAAGGATTCCAGCGCTCTGGACTTGTTTCCACTTCTGATTTGCTGCAGGATTTTGGGTAAGTACCTCCCCTCTGGTCCTGGATATTTCCTTTGTTCGAAGAGCCAGGGATTCAAACCTACCAGCCTCCACTTTCTGTGGCTTTTTTTTTTTAACTTGTCTGCTTAGTAGCCAAAGGGTATCTCCGAAAGCAAATGTCTAAAATGGAACTAGCTGTCCAGCCCTTCATCCCGCTACCCTCTTCCTGCTTTGTTCCTGTCTCCGTTGTCCCCTGGGTCAGAGCATCTGCCCTAGGAGACAGCTTCTTGGCTGCCTCAGGATGGCCCTTCTCTGCCTCCTGACCTCCCCCTGCTCCTCTGCTTCCTGTCTGATCTCCTCAGCCACAAGAGTTCTCTTAAAGGCGCGTCAGGCCAGTGCCCTATTTGCTCAGAACTTGTCCCTGTCTCAATTCCTCCACCTCTGTCACGTGACCCCTGTTACATCCGTGAGTATTCAGAACAGTCCACAGTAATCCTCACCTTTCCCCTGCCAGATTCACACATCCCACAGAAGAGACCCCAAGCCCTGTCTTCTTCTACAAGCTCTCCTGCCCTCCTCTCTGGGTCCCAGGATCATGTAGGCCTGGGCTGCCTGGCTCTGCAATGCACTTAGGAGTCCTGCCCACCCCCCACCCCCAGGATTAGCCTATGACTTCCAAAAGGCATGTGAGAGGGTGCCGTCGGGGGCTGGCACACAGTAGGTGCTCCTAAAACAGTGTGGCACCCAGGCTTCCTTCAGGCGTATATCACTTTTGAGGCATGCAGTTTTGTCTTGTGCTCAGTGTGATGAAATACTTGCTCTGTGCTAGAGTCCATGTGTGGGGAGAGCACTGTGTGGGAGGCAGGACTGCCCTGTAGAAGCTCTGTTTACTAGGGCAAGATAAGCCGGTGCCACAAAGAACTGTTACATAAGAGGCATTGTAAAGTGGGCAAGAAGGAAGCCACGCGGGAGAGGGTGAGGCTGTGCAGAGTGTAGGCCTAGGGAAAGAGAGGAGCGTGCCACCACAAAACAAGCAGTTGGACTGGTGGAGCGCTTGCCTGGCGTTCACAGAAGCCTGGGTTCCTGTCTGAGAATCACATAATCCTAAGCCTTGAGGGTTAGATGCAGGAGGATCAGTTGTTTGTACTTGACCAGCGCAGAAGGCTCCTTGGTTGTACGAGGTCTTTAGAGGACACTGTACAGGGGAGGACATGTGTGTCCCTCTGTCCAGTCATGCACGCAGTACTTGATCTTGGAATACATTGTGCCTCTGGCCACAGTCCACATGTCAAGGCATTAACAGTGCTTTGCACGGGCAGCGGAATTCCAGGGCGTTTTTCTTTTTGCTTATCTAAAATACTGGCTAAGCAAGTTTGAGGCCAGCCTGAATTACATAGTGAAACCCTACCTCAAAATCAACACAAAATCCTAAGGCTGGGGCTGTAACTTAGTAGTTGAATCCTTGCCTCCCATGTGCAAAGCCCCTGAGTTTGATCCACGGCACCACATTAAAAAAAAAAAGTTCACAAAACAAAAAAAGCCGTGTGGTGGCGCTTGCCTTTAATCCCAGCACTCAGGAGGCAGAAGCAGGCGGATCTTTGTGTTTGAGTTTGAGGACCGGCTCCAAAGTTACAGAAACAAGTCTCCAAAAACAACAAACAAAAAAACAAAAACAAAAAGATAACCTCTCAATCTGCCTTAATCATGGGCGTTTATAATGCATTAAATGAAGTTTAAATGTTGAATGAACAGTACTTCTCAAAATATGTGCAAGGAAGAATCCATTCGGTTTCTCTTTTATTTCTAATCTTCAGATTCTTTACTAAGATACAATTTAAAGTTGCCAGAAATTTTATGTAATTTTTTATGTGCATTAGTGTTTTGTCTGTATTCATGTCTGTGTGTGGGTGTCAGATCCTCTGGAACTGGAGTTACAGATAGTTGTGAACTGACATGTGGGTGCTGGGAATTGAACCCAGGTCCTCTGGAAGAGCAGCTAGTGCTCTTAACCGTGAGCAATCTCTCCAGCCCCTGAAAACTGGTTTGTTTGTTTTTTAACTATCAGTCCTGGGAACTATAGCCCAAGTGCTATCATTAGATTGAAATTTCTCTGAAACTTCTACAGGATTCCCTGCCTTACCTTGTTCTGGAGGGGCAGCAGTTGACTGGAGAGAGGGGAGGCAGAAACCTAAAAGAACTGTCCTCCGAACGTCACGTCTTACGCTTCCTGTTGATCCCCCACAGAACTGAGTGGACAGCGGACACTCGGAGCCTAGAGTCCATCTAGCAGGCTACCCTGTACCCCGCCCACACCATGCATCACCAGTCCATACTGCACAGCGGCTACTTCCACCCACTGCTGCGGACCTGGCAGGCCTCTGCCTCCACCATCAGTGCCTCCAACCTCATCTATCCCATCTTTGTCACGTGAGTCCCCAGCAGTGTGCCAGACCTGGAGCGGGCAGTCCTGTCGGGAGGGGGAAGCCTTAAAGTGGTCTGTGAGGTTGGGGACTATGGTCTTTGGAACCATACAAGCTCCGAAAAGAACTCCAGTTGTCACGTCATGATTACCCTTGCCATTCCAGAGCTTTGGTGGTTAAAACAGAAGAGGGAAGTATCTGGGTCAAATGCTATGTCTGAGTTAAGAGGCAATTGTTAGCAACCACAGAAGATATTTGTGGAGTGCTTACTGCATAGCAGGTACTGTGCTAGGCTCCTGCAGTCCTGGCCTCTTCACAAGGAAGAAAAAGACATCCTTATGCGTCCCAACTCTGGAGGGCAGGGATTGTTGCCTGATTGGCTCACTGTTCTTATCTACTGATAAGAACACTACCTAGAACACTACCTAGCACTTGAGAACTGTTGAGTAAATCTTAAGTGCTTGAAGAAATTAATCTACGCAGGATCCAGATGAAGTGCCTAAGGCTAAAGGAGATGCTTGGCTCAGACACAAGGACCCTCTGAACTCAGAGTCAAGTCCTTCAGTACCGTTGCTCTTACTGCCATGCTATTATTGTTCCTGTTACTGTTAGGCCTGGGCTTGGCCAGGCAGGGGGATCAGACATCCCAATCTTGTCAGTCACACAACCATTAATTCGTAACCCTCTCCAACTCTTGCAGGGATGTTCCTGATGATGTCCAGCCTATTGCCAGCCTCCCAGGAGTGGCCAGGTAGGGGTTATGGTGGGTGGCGGGGATGGTGGAAGGAAAGATTGCACAGGTGCAGGTGCCAGGAAGTAGAAGCACACTTAACAGGTAGCAGATATGAAAAGACACTGGAAAGAAGGATTTCATGGAGAGTAAACTGTTAGCTAGTATGGGAGGCAACCTCATAAAGTGACAAGCATCCCACCATCGGGGACATTGGGGCAGAGGCTATTGTAGGCAGGAACTGAGCTTGAGACGGGAGGAGTCTGCCACAGCTAACTGCATAGCTCTCCTGTCTGTGACCCAGTTTGCCCGTCTCTCTGGTGGGTATGCTGCTACTTGGTCCTGGACTATGGGGCTTGCGCTCTCCGGTACCCTACGCAGCTTGGCTCTTCACATGCTAGCAAGTGTGTTTCCACAGAGCTATACCCCAGCCTGCAGCTTGACTTGTAACAGAAGCACTATTCAAAGGCATGGAGGCCTGGGCAGGAGACCTGTTCTCTCAGCGCTTTGCGCTTCCTTGCCCTTCCCCAGGTACGGCGTGAACCAGCTAGAGGACATGCTGAGACCCCTGGTGGAAGCAGGCTTGCGCGCTGTCCTGATCTTTGGTGTCCCCAGCAGAGTTCCCAAGGTGACAAATGGAAGAGTGGAGAGGAAGATGAGGGAAGTGTCTGGGCTGGTAGAGCTTGCTGCTCCAGCTTGAGGACCTGAGTTCAGTCCCAAGACCCATTCTGAAAAGCTGAGAGGCAGTGTATGACTGTTCTCCAGTGCGAGGAGGTAGAGACTGTGGCTCCTGGGGTTTGCGGGACAGCCAGTCTGCCTGATTGGACACCTGTGCTACGGTGGTACACGCCTTTAATCCCAGCATGAGATTGGTACGACAGGCCCCTCTCTCTCAGTTCAAAGCCAGCATGGTCTATACAGCTAGTTCTAGGCCAGCCAGAACTACATGGTAAGTGAGATCCTACTTCCAAAACAAAAAAATTAAACTAAGGTGGATAGTGATTGAGGAAGACACCCAGTTTTGGCCTGTGCTCTCCACATGTGGAGACACACACACACATAAGAAGGAAGGAAAGACAAAGGAAGCCTGAGGGAGGGAGGACTGAAGCGCTGTGCTCACTGTGGCTCTGCTCTGGGCAGGCTTTGGGGGCCATAGTCGCATTGCTGTATTCTTTGCCTTTGACCCCAGGTCAGGAAGCTCACGAGTAGGCCTGTGACAGCCTAACTGGGTGGTTCTGCTGTACTCTGTAAATGGGGCTGGGCCTGTGTTCTTCGGTGGCAGCCAGCATACCTTCTGAAAAGGTGTGTAATAGACGTACCACCTTGTCCTTCCCTGGCTCCAGGACGAACAGGGCTCTGCAGCTGACTCTGAGGACTCCCCAGCTGTTGAAGCCGTCCGCTTGTTGAGGAAGACCTTCCCTGACCTCCTAGTGGCCTGTGATGTTTGCCTGTGCCCCTACACCTCCCATGGTCACTGTGGTGAGCTCCTGCATACAGACCTTGTTATCTCAGCCCAGCGGCCCCCCAGGGTGGGGACAGACAAGGGCCAAGGTGCACTCCCAACCCAGCATCTTGTCTCCCAGGCCTCCTGAGTGAGAAAGGAGCATTCCTAGCTGAGGAAAGCCGACAGCGGTTGGCAGAGGTGGCACTGGCCTATGCCAAAGCAGGTGAGTGAGTGCCCTAGTAGCAGAGACAGGGAGTCGGCATGTGGGCAAGAAAGATCCAGAATTCTGAAGGTCACCCTCTGTCCCTCAGGATGTCAGGTTGTAGCTCCATCAGACATGATGGACGGACGTGTCGAAGCCATCAAGACTGCCCTGCTAAAACACGGTCTTGGCAACAGGGTATGACCTGAGGGCAGGGAGGGGTGTGAAGTTGGATGGACGGAGAGGGCCTGGGCAGCCCTCGGAATATGGCTCAGTCAGTAAAGCACTTGCTTGCAAGTGTGAGGACCTGAGTTCGGATCTTCTAACCCATGTAAGAAGCAGGCATGGTGGTGTGTGTGTGTGTGTGTGTGTGTGTAATCCCAGTGATGGGGAGGTGGAGCTTGCTGGCCTGCTAGCCTACCCTTGGTAAAGCTGTAGGCCAGTGAGAGATCCTATCTCAGAAACCTTAGACAGCACCTAAGGAATGCTGCCGTTGTTGTCTGTGCCCCGCATGCATGTGCACACACACGTACCTACACGTGAGCCAGTACATACAGTGCGTCTCAGAATTGAGAGCGACGCTGGGTGAGCCCTTTGGGTTACACCTCAAGGCCTAGTGTTCAGAGACTAGATTATAGGTCCTTTGATTCCTGCCTGAGGACCTTCCCTTGTTTGACCCCTGGGATTTGGGAAGGGCTGACTAGGCCTAGACTCCACTGTCTTCTCTCTAGGTCTCTGTGATGAGCTATAGTGCCAAATTTGCCTCCTGTTTCTATGGCCCTTTCCGGTGAGTGGAGTCAACAGTGGTCTATTAAATTCCTGGCCCAGTCTCCTGACGCTGGACCCCAGCATTGTGATATTCTTTGCAGGGATGCAGCTCAGTCGAGCCCAGCTTTTGGGGACCGCCGCTGTTATCAGCTGCCTCCTGGAGCCCGTGGCCTGGCCCTCCGTGCAGTTGTGAGTGATCTCAACTTAAACCCCACACCCACCTGTCCTGTCCTGTCCCTGTCTCAGGCGCTACCCACACTTCACCCTTATCCCTAGGCCCGGGACATTCGGGAAGGAGCTGACATGCTCATGGTGAAGCCAGGATTGCCCTACCTGGATGTGGTGCGGGAGGTGAAGGACAAGGTAAGGACAGAATGTAGGGTGGAAGAGGTTGTCCCCTATAGTGGACCCTAAATGGGAGAGGGGGGCTGTAGAATCAATCTCTGAGCCAGAACAGGAACCCTCTCCCACCCTGCTTAGTTCTGCGTGGCTCATGGCAGCACCTAGACAGCTGTGGACGGACGGTTTCAGAGTGAGCTGGCTCTCGGTGGCAGTGATTATTCAGACGGGGCAGGAAGGAAGGGACAGTCACTTGACCCCATCTGCCATTCTCTGCAGCACCCCGAGCTCCCCCTCGCGGTATACCAGGTGTCAGGAGAGTTTGCCATGTTGTGGCACGGAGCCCAGGCTGGGGCCTTTGATCTCAGGACTGCTGTACTGGAGGCTGTGACTGCCTTCCGCAGAGCTGGTAAGCAGGGGTGGGGTTTGTGACTTGTGCCACAGGGCATGATGGTCACTCTGCCCAAGAAAGAAAGCAAAGGTCTTGAGAAGCTCGGATTCTTTGCCCAGTTCGGATCACCAGGCACAAATAGAGAAGAGTGTGAGGAAGGGCAGAAAACTGCAGCGATGACAGCAATAGGACCGCCATACAGCTTTCTGCTTGAGAGAGCTTGGGCAAGCCGCTTTGTCAGTCTTGGGGTCCTGGTCCATAGGCCAGGATAAGATACCTGGTACATACTGTCCTGAGGAGTGCTGAGATAATATGCAGTGTATACTCTTATTACCTTATAAATGGGAGCAGGTTTGGCTAGTATCACAGACCATCCTGGTTGTCAGGTTGGGTTTAACAGCAGACGCCTGTTATCCCCACTTACCGGAAAGGTCCATAGGAAAAAGCAAATTGAAGCCCGGTGGTGGTGGCGCACGCCTTTAATCCCAGCACTCAGGAGGCAGAGGCCTGCAGATCTCTGAGTTTGAGGCCAGCCTGGTCAGAGCTAGTTCCAGGACAGGCACCATCAAAGATACAGAGAAGCCTTGTCTCAAAAAGAGGGAGGGAGGGACGGAGAGACGGAGAGGTGGGTATTGTGTATGTGCAGTGCCCGCAGAGGCCACAAGAGGACATCAGATCACTGGGAACTGGAATTGGAATTGTGGGTAGTTATTTGCTTCCTGACATGGGTCTAAGTCTGGCTGGATCTCAGAGTGACATGGCAGAGGAGAAAGAGCCTCAGCTAGAAATGTCTGTAGTTTGGTCTCAGTGCCGCACTGGGCCTCGGTTTCCCCAGACAGCTGGGACATTCAGGCTAGTGCTTGCCTGCTTCTTCTGCACATATCACACATCAGCAAATCGGGCCCCAGGTTCAGTCTTAGGCTGCGACACCATGCTATGCCTCTCCATGGTGGTCCTTCCCTGCCTGGCTCTCCTCTCCCAAGTGTGCTAAGAGCTGATGTCATAACCCTCTCGTTTTTGTTTTCTATGTAGGTGCCGACATTATCATCACCTACTTTACACCCCAGTTGCTGAAGTGGCTAAAGGAAGAGTGATGGAGAGTATAGGATTTGATGTTGACAAAGCTCCTTGGGCCTTGAGTGAAGCCAAAGTAAATGCTGGAACTGTGCCTGTGCGGTCTTCCTGCGTGCTGTTGGCGGGCGCAGCACCATGGGTGGTCCTGCCAACATGCTGAGCTCCCACTCTCTTTCCCACCCTGGCTCAGCCCAGAGATTCATCTCCCTGCTTCTGAGGTGTGGCTTCAGCTCGGCAGGAGCCAGGAGCCGTAGGCACAGGCCTTGGGCTTTGTGACGAGAGGGGAGCAGCTGGATCTTGAACCCCAAAGAAGACTTATGCATTAGTGAGGCTCAAATCCCAGAAGCAGAGGGAACACACACACACACACACACACACACACACACACACACACAGACAGTTCCTGAGAACGTCTGACCAGGGCTATTTGGACGCAGCAGGACACACAGTAGCTTGTCTCTAGACAGAGAGGGGAGTCAGATAAGACATAACAAAGCAGTTGAAGTGATACTTCCTTTGAAGGAAAGGGTCAAGACAGAAGCTGCCCCTCAGCTGAGACCTCAGAGGGACAAAGAGGACAGATGTTCAGAGACCCCTTTGGGAGGAGGAGTTTTACAGGACTGGAGGACAGTCCAGGAGGAAGGTGGATAACAGGCTGGAGCTTGGAGTGATTACTTCCCACACATTTGGTGTCTGATGACAGCCATCTTAATGATGCTGAGGTGGTTTGGTGTGGTTTGATTTGCTCCACTGAGGACTGAATACTCACCCATCAAGGCAAGCGCTCTGCCACTGAGCTGTCCTAGCCCTTCAAGAGAGAATCTGGAGAGCTGGGAGGTGGTGGCGCACGCCTTTAATCCCAGCACTCGGGAAGCAGAGGCACGCTGATCTCTGAGTTCAAAGCCAGCCTGGTTTCCAGAGCAAGTTCCAGGACAGGCTCCAAAGCTACAGAGAAATCTGTCTCAAAAAAAAAAAAAAAAGAGAGAATCTGGAAAGAGGACTAGAGAGACTTTGGTGGAAGGCAATAGGGACAGGAGGGAGTGGGGGTGTCTATGGCAGCTTAAGCACCGGCTGCTTCAGTTCACCTGACATCTGACACGCACTGCCACTAATGGACGTTAGGTGGGGCTAGTTTGCAGCTCACCCCACTTCAGAGTCCTCACTGTAGCACCAAAGCAAGTTCAGTTCAGACTCTAAAGCGAAATGAAATCCGTCTTTAAAATGTACAATTATTGGGTTATAAACTGGCAGCTTCTGCAGTTAGACTGGTCCTAACTCTTGGTACCTTTCATTTAGAGCTGTGACTGACCCATAAGAGCTGAGCTTCCTGTTTCTCACCTTGTGAAAGGTAGCCTCCAAAATCAGGTTTTTTCAAAGTTTTTTATTGAGCTGTGTATTTTTCTCCCCTCCCTTCTCTCCCCTCTCCTACCTACCACCCTCTTCCACAGTCTCCCCACACTCCCAATTTCCTCAGGACATCTTGTCTTTTTGGTTTTTGTTTGTTTTTGTTTTTTTGAGACAGGGTTTCTCTGTGGTTTTGGAGCCTGTCCTGGAACTAGCTCTTGTAGACCAGGCTGGTCTCGAACTCACAGAGATCCACCTGCCTCTGCCTCCCAAGTCATCTTGTCTTTTTCTATTCCCCATGTAGATTAGATCCATGTATGTCTCTCTTAGGGTCCTCTTTGTTGTCTAGGTTATCTGCAAAATCAGATCTTAAGAGTCCTAAACATTCCCTTTCTGGAAGCCTGAGCCTAGATCGACAGTCTGGAGCTCAGATCACTAATTTGAGACATGCCATCATTGGGCCAGAAGTATACCAGACTAGAACTGTCTTAACTCCTAGACATGTTCCACCACCTCTGAGCTCTTCTTCAGTTAAAATGGTTCATGTGTTAGGGGTGGCTTTCCTTGGCCATCCTGGAGCCATCGTCACCAAGTCAGTGCAGAAAGCCAGAAGATGTGCTGCCCACTGCAGGTACACCATGTTAACCGATGTACCCAGGAACTTACTGTAGACGCCGAGCAGAGACAAGTGAAGTGTGAAGGTCACCAGGTCCCGACCTCTGAAGGTTCAGAGAATTGTTCCCTGAAAGACCAATATTTGGATGAGTAGCTAAGCTGAGAAAGAATTGGGCAATAATGTTCTAGGGAAAGAACCATTGTGCAAAGTTCCTGGGACCCAAAGCTATGAGCACAGGACGAGTGGCTGGCATACCAGGAAAGATACAAGCAGGTGACCTCAAGAGTGGAGCTTCAGGCCGAACCACACGGGCTCAAGGTCACATCTCCCTAACTTTATTCCAAGGTGGAAAGGCATTTCAAGGGTGTCAGCAGAATGGCCTCTTAACAACCATGGACATGATACAGATGAGGTGTTTGAGCTGTGTGGGCTAAGTGACCATAGAGATGCAGTATAGATGTATTTAGGGCATAATTAGAGGTGAATTGGACATGAGACATGAACTCGCTTGACTAGGTGGCAGGTGGGCGGGCCATTTAGTGGAGAAAACAGGTCCATGGTAAGTTTAGCTTGGGATTCTTGGCAATGACAGGTCTGTTTAGAGATTTGATGGCACTCCTCCGAGGCCATATTTGTGGCATTCTGACCTGACTCCAAAGTCTCTGCTTTTAACCACTTCCTGACATCCTCCAGTAAGCAGCAGTGAACGCATGGCTGGCGCTTGTGTATGATCGACTTTGGCATGGCGGGAAGGCCCAGGAACCCATTTTCCTTCAGGTGTCGGTGGCGCCCCCTGGAGTCTTGTCACCTAAGTGTCCACTTGGTGACATCTTTAGAAAGCAGTTGCATCTAGGTTAGGATAGGAGGGGCAATTGTGCCCATGAAGTTAGAGCAGGATGGTTGCCAGGACTTCTAGACGAATCCCAGCTGCAGTTTTTTTTTTACAATCGGGAAGGGACAGAGTCATCTGGAAAGATTGCCGTCTTCCTGTGGATCTGCACCCATCTCTGGATAGAGAAATAGACTTTCACAGGCTGGCGAGGCATCAGAAGCCTCAGTGAGTAAGACTTGGTTTTTCGTTCTCAAATGTGCTAGTTTAGGCTGTAGCTTGTCTGTTTGACGGGCATTTTAACCAGCTACCTCACTCCCCAGAGTGGAGACCATGTGTTTCCAGCCCTTGTCCCACATGGACTGCCAGTTCCACAGAGGAAGGGCCTGTGATTTGTGGCACACCAGATTCTGGGTGGCTTTGATTGCAGGCTAAAACAGTTAAATAGAAAAAGCAGCTCAACTGGTTTTCACGCCAAGATCTTGATAAGACCAGAAGTGTCCCTGGGTCAAAGACTTACTCTTGGCCTTGTGTAGACTTTATTGCTATAGATAAGCCTTCCCAGTAAACTGTGAACCCTGTAACCCTGAAAGGACCCCTAAGATTTGTAATCTCAGAAAAAAAATCCATTCTGTCCCTCCCCTGCTGGAAGAGCTGCGGTTGCTCTGCTTGGTCACATGCCTGCCATTTGGCTCACTCACTATGAACTAAGGGGCAACAGTTGAGCTGCCCCATTGCATGAAAGGCTGGCAAGGCCCTGACTCTTGTACCAATGGTCCTCTCTGCCTGAAATGCATTTCCCTCTAAGTCTGGGTGTCTCCTTTTATGTGCTGAGCTAAGCTGGTGTCACTCACTTCCTCGAACCTGATCCAACAATCTGTCAAAGCTTACCCTCTCTGTATTTGGATTAGTGAATAGAACAAAAGCCAAAATAATAAGTTTAAAGGTTTACTTCTTGGAAGTGGTGACTCAACAGATCTAAATGCTTGCCTTGCAAGTCTCACCTGAATTCAATCCATAGCACCCACTGAAAAGAATTAACTTCCAAAACGTCTTCTGACTACCACATGCCCACTTTTGTATTCGTGTGTGTGTGTGTGTGTGTGTGTGTGTGTGTGTGTGAGAGAGAGAGAGAGAGAGAGAGAGAGAGAGAGAGAGAGAGAATTATATAATTCTGTAAGCACACTGGGACTGGTTTGCCAGTTTGTGCAGGCAGGGGAATTGATCTCAGCTCCTGTTATTCTGCATTCCATTTTCATCTCAAGTGTGGTAGCACATTCTTATAAACCCAGCATTGGACACCTGGGGCAGGAGGATCGTGAGTTCAAGGCTATCCCATGCAACATAACAGCTCGCAAAATCACGTGCATGAGCACCAAAGGGGTGGGGAACCTTGAGTTGTCGTCAATCCTTTCTTTCTGACACTGAAAGGTAGATGGCCTTTGAGAATGCAAAACAAGAGACTTCTAGTTACTAGTACAGCCATTTCAGAAATCTGTCTACTGAAAGGAAGCACACTTGATGAGGGTATCCTGATTGCCACTCCTAGGTATTTATCAAAAGTATTTACTGGTGTTCTCTGAGACACAGTAGGTTCACATGTGCCTGCTGTCTTCAGCTACTTAGATGGGAGGATCATAAGCCAAGGTTGGAGACCAACCCAAGAGAAAATTGTTCAGAACACTTTCTAGTATGTGTGATCATCCCAGACTGGAACTAACCCAGTGCCATCAGCATTGAGGTGTATTCCATCTTGATTATGAAATGTTATAGTTCTGAAAAGGAACAAGACAGCCACACAGTGTGATATGGATTAATAAAACTTAGAATCAAAGGAAGATACAAGAATGTGCCTGCCATGTTGTTCATTTACACAGCTCACAAACAAGTGAGATTACAATTAAAAACCCAGCTGGGCAGTGGTGGCGCTCGCCTTTAATCCCAGCACTCGGGAGGCAGAGGCAGGTGAGTCCCTGTGAGTTTGAGGCCAGCCTGGTCTACAAGAGCTAGTTCCAGGACAGCTAGGACTGTTACACAGGGAAACTCTTGTCTGGAAAAACCAGAAGCCCAGGGTGTGGATCAGTTGTAGGAAGAGTACGTCCCCGGTTCTGGTTCAATTCCAGCACCACGCACATAAAGAAGTGGGTCATGGTGAGTCAGGCTTGAATCTCAGCATTTAGGATTGCTGTGGATGAAATAGGGTACCAACATAGTTCTGGGCTACTGTGTGAGATCCTCTCTCAAAAGGGCAAGGTGGAGGGGTTTGCTATCATTTAGGGGATAAGCAAGTGAAAGCAGACCTGCT